CTGTGCGTGGTGGGGGAGGGGGGGGGGGGGCGGAGACAAATCCTATGCTACTTGGCCTTCATAGCTGGAAAATACACCAGCTTCCATTGCAGGCATTATTAGTGGTTAGGTCCCATAGATGGCCAGATTTCTTACTAAAAGCTGCTCTTACTAATCTTGAATGTGTATTCTTCCAAATGCTGGCAATATTTGACTAAAGCTGGCCATACACGGTTATGTTTTCTTTGTTCAGCTCTCAGGTTGAACAAAGAAAATATAACTGTATCCTCCATCAATGCTTATGAGCAAGGATGGAGGAATCCCCCACTGCCATAAAACCGAACCCGGTGGCTGCTGTGGTGCAAATCTTTTCAAAAAGTGAAAGACTGGAAACATCCTGACAAGATGTTGTTACCTCCCAAGCGCCTATTAGTTCTGTACCCATTTGAGGAGGACTTTGTTGAAAATGTGCTGGATCTGGCAGTATTGCAACAAGGCAATTATTATGCCAGTGTAGGATACAAGCAATTTGGAGGCTCTTTCTGGAACTTTCTTCTGCCTGTTCAGGTCCTGTGCTGCAACCTGTATTAGACGTTAGAAACCAAGGCTGAGGTCGAATATTAAGCTGGCCATACACTGCTCAGTTTTTTTTTTTCGTTCAACCCACAGGCTGAACGAAAAAAATATTGCGGATTCCTCCAACGCTACAAGCACGTTGATGGAGGAATGCCTACTGTTCTTTTTGTATTCTGACAGCGTCCGCTGAACCCAGGCAGAATATCCAAACAGGGCTGGCAGCTTATCTGCCGGTTCTGTTTGTACGAAGATTTTCAGACCGGCTCCTTTAGGGCTTGTTCACACCAAATGCAGTCCAGATCTGCACGGCTTTCTGCAGTGCAGTGTGTTATACCGCGTTTCTTGTCGCGTTTTTGATGCGTTCCGGGCCGTTTTTGGTAAAATGGGCTTTCAGTGCGTTCCAGGGCGCTTGCATGCATTTTTGATGTGTTTGCATGTGTTCCAGAGCAGGTAGAATAGGGCTTGCAGCTGTTTTTTTTTTTTTTAGGGATGCACCGATATATCGGCCGAAAATGGCACTTTTGGCATAATGCCGAAAGGGCCATTTTCCTGCCGATACATCGATGCATCGCTGATTTCTTTCCTCCCCGCTGGGCGCTGCTCTATGTCCCAGCCGGGAGGATAGAAACTGTGATAGCCGGCCGAGCGCTGCGAGAGGAGAGCGCAGTGAGCTGCCGGCGTCTCCTCCCACACCGCTTAGCCGCCTATCACAGTCCGGCAGAGCGGTGTGGGGGCGGAGACAGCGATGTCACAGGAGGCTGGGCTTTCCTCCCTACACCGCTCGATCAGCCTTCTGTGACAGCGTGTCAGAGAGAAGAGCAAGGTACACACACTCTTATTTGTACATAATTGAGGACATGGTATGGTAACTATATCCTCAATTATGAATGAATGGGAAGTGATCTACATCTCCTCCTGTTCATTCATAGTTGTGGTTATAGTAAACAAACAATGTCCTCATGTTATCAATGAACAGGAACACTCATAGAGAATTCCTGTTCATTGATAACAGGGGACACAGAAAAAGGGAAATATCAGGGGTCTGTTTAGACCCCTAATATTTCCCCCGAAGCCCCTAAAAGTAATGTAAAAAATAAAAATATTTAATAAAAAATAATTTAATAAATACAAATAAATATTAAAAAATTAAAGTTTATAAAACAATAAATAAAAATTAAATTTGAAAAAATTAAAATAAAAAACTTTTTCGGTATCGGTTTCGGCCTGACAATTTTTTTTATTTCGGTTCGGTTTTAACATTTCCATTTCGGTGCACCTCTAGTTTTTTTTACATGCTCTGGAACTGAACGCTGAGGTGTGAACTAGAGCCCAAAATATAATTGGAATACATTGGATGCAGTTTTGATCCGATCTGTAACCGCTCTGCTCCTGGAACGCGCTTGGTGTGAACAAGCCCTCAATCACATGATTGAGGAATGCCGGCCGAAAGGGTGCCAACAGCAGCACCCACTGTGCAAATTCTTGAGGATCTGGCTGAAATGTGCAGAGTGCGTGGCCACCTTTTTAGCACCAAACTTTATTGGCCTTTATAACTTGCATTAAACTAAAACAGCCATGCCCTGCAAAAGGTGTACAGAACTACATTGGATGCAGCAGGCAGTGTGTGGTTACTCCCAGCCAGGAATGGGTGGGAGTAATCGTTAAGAGCTGGGCTTTCTGCAATGGATACACAGATATCTAACAAGATTGGATACAGCTGTACCCACCTAGCAAACTCACGAGGGATTAATGTTGTATCACCAATTAATCACCTCCTATATTTTAAATGATCTATGACTGTGCATAAATTATAAAACAAATGTATCGTGGTCATTTTCCAACAAGTGTGTAATGTGATAGTGCTGTGTTGTGCTCACTTTTATGGGCCAACTAGCAATCTCTACAATTAAGGGTAAGTATAAGCAACGTAATGCTACACCATAACCATTGCCTTCACCCAAATAATTGGCAATTGTGTAGCGTTACGTGGTTTATACTTACCCTTAATTGTAGAGATTGCTAGTTGGCCCATAAAAGTGAGCACAACATGGCATTATCACATTACACACTTGTTGGAAAATGACTGATACATTGGTTTTATAATTAATGCACAGTCATAGATCATTTACAATATAGGAGGTGATAAAACATTAATCCCTCCTGAGTTTGCTATACGGACCCACCTGTATCAACCCAAAACTGATAAACCTCTTGGATAAACTTACCCTGAAGAATCAAATACAGACTTGGTCCCCAAAAACACTACAGCTTAGCTACAGTCAAACAAATCAGTAAATTTACCTTTTACCAGGGTTTTACATACATTTCCTTAATCCTTTTCAGCCTGCTCCAAAAGAGTTTTCTTGCTGCTTCTGGACAGTGTTGCAATCGTTAGCCAGTGATTTTGTGTTGTACAGCCTGTTCCAGTAAAAACACATGTTCTGTGGTGTATGTCCATGGCAATTTTATGTTTTGCTGGAATTTATATCTGCATTTTCATAGATGCCTTTATGCAGTGCCCTTTGTACATAAATGGCAATGCATTGGAGGCAAATTCTAAAGAATCTTGTATTTTGGAGTGATGCTGAAAAGTATAAATAGAAGATAAGGAAGTATTTACTTCTGTTCTAGCATTTAAAATGTTTATGATTACAAGCTGAGTAGGATTAAGTATATCAGCGTAATGTAAAGAACAGATTCTGAATATCTACCAATTCTCATGTGGAGTGATAAAATATGTATGAGAAAAGTGTAAATACGCTTTATCATTTAAGTGATAAGATTTTTTTTCCTGTCCCATAATAGTTTACATAAAGCAAGGATAAGCAGCATCTCATAGCCCCGTCTAGTAAATTTGCCGTTGGTTGTTCAGAGCATTGATTACAATATATAAACAGCTGTTGATTTTTGAAGATGAAGCCAAGTGTTATAATTGCCTTCCTACCAAGGAATTACTTTTTTGATCGTATTTTGTTATAAATCAACTGTGTTTTCTAAATAATGGAAGACTGAACACTATGTATGTATTTAGTGTTTAACACATGGATAAAAATCACCCAGCACCTTGCATGCACACTCATTCTGTAACTTTTGAATCTTGTCTACTGACAATTTTGGGGTTTAAACGCACCAGAAGTGACAGAAAACTCATGCAGATTTGCAGCATTTTCTACATTTAATTTTAATGAAACACAGGAACTTTTTATTTTTTTATAATGCTTTGACAGACTTGATAGGTCTATAACCTATTTTGATTTCAATTGTGCAGAATTTCTGTGTAAGGATTGTCCGAGAATTCATATAGCTGTGGAGCGTATCGGTGTGAAGGATATACCCAAGGAGCAGACATTTATGAGAAGGTGGCTACATGAGCGGTTTGAAATTAAAGACAGGTACGTAAATGTGTGGAGAATCAATGGCCACTTAATTCATGAACTGCTGATAAGATTAATGTTGCTAACCAATATTTTATTTGAACCGGCTCTACAGCTGAGTAATGCAGAAATAAGATACATTTTTGTTAATAGTCAAGGTACTTAAATGCATTTTTAAGGTTTGACTCGTGAGTTTAGTGTCACTTTAATTTTTCCAGTCTTCCCAGGGTGCTAAATACTCTTTGAAACTGTTGGCCAGTGCCACCCGCTACCTCACTTCTGGAAATTTTCTTGTGACTTCTTTGGATCAAATAAGACAGTAGAAGTCACAATCTGTGCTTAATTAAAATAGCCCTTGTTGTAAATGGTACTAAACTTGGATCTAACATATTCCTATTCACAATAAATGCCCACTTACCTGATTTGTAGACAATTATTTACTATTCCAATGATGATTTCTCATCAGCACCATATTGTCTTGCGAAATAGCACATAGCATACTGCATGTTGGACAGAACATTTAATACATTGCAGTGACGATATTAAGTTTGCATTTGGCAAAGGCTTAGTTTTTGACCATTAGTTTATTTTGTCTGCTCTGTGTTTTTGGTGTAACATAAATGAAGGAATACCTTTATGCTTTACTTTTAGGTTATTGACGGAGTTCTATGAGGCCACAGATCCTGAAAAACGCAATAAGTTTCCTGGTGAAGGTCATACTGCCAAACTCAGCTTGATGAAGACTGTGCCATCTTTGTTACTGTTAACTGGTGTAACTGCTGGCATGTTGTGTACAGAAACTGGAAGAAAATTTTATGTCAACACATGGATTTATGGAACTTTAATTGGCTGTCTATGGGTTAGCATCAAGGCCTAAAAAGACATGGTCTCAAATCAGCTGCACATCATACCAAAACTTTTTTTGTCCATAACAAGACATTGTAAACATTGCCTTATCCATAATCATCTAGTAAAATGTGAGACTGATACCTGTGTGATACATGTTATGCAAGTAATCTTTGGTATATGCTTACAATTCAATTTTTCATAACTTTAAAGAAAGGGTAACTTGGTATACTGATAATGAATATATTTTATAGCCATGAAATACCCTTTCTGCTACCTGCCAGTAGTGTTTGCACCACCCAAGTTCAGGGTCAAAGGTTACAAATCTTCGGTTGACACAGAGTTTAAAAAAGTAAATGTGCCAATATTTTCAGAGACAAGTTAGCCAGAAACTTGTATTTGTGGCTCCATATTTTTTAATGAAATAATTGAAAATAAATACACAAAATTTGTCTGCATTTTTGGTGCACAGCCAATCTTTTAGTACACCTTTTGTTTACTCATATGATGTCTTTTCAGCTAGACTCTTTGAGGTTGCTGAACCCAACTGGCTTTGGAAGGTGCAGTTCACCTTTTGTGGTTTCTAACCTTTGACCTCAAATTCTGTGTCTTACAAATGGAACTATATATTATCTAACTGTCCACACTTTTCAGTCGCATGTGTCTAACACTTATCTACGTTAAAGCCTTCCATTTTCTGGGGCCTGGAAAATGAAAGACTTTCTACAGTCAACCTCCCTGACCGGTAAAACAGTGTTTCCTCAGGGGACCTCTAATTTTAAAATCACACATTCAAGCAGGAGATTGGGAATATTATATAGCTAAAATGAACATGTTTGTTGCTTCCAACCGTTGTTCTGCAAGGAGAATTGGGAACTCTGCACTAAGTCCATGTGAAACACTGCACTACATTGGAACATGAGAGCTCAAAATTAAACTTGACTTAACAAATTTGCCCAAGCAACTAGTCATGTCTCTAGGGCATGAAAGAAGAATCTTAAATAGAGGAACTTAAAGTTCTTTAAAACCTTCTTTTTAGGTGGATTGACAAAACTCATTTGAAATTTTTTTAGCGGTTGTGTATTTTATATTTTCCCTGTCTATACATTCAAAAGAAAAATATAATCAGGAAAATAAAACTGAAGTTGTGGTGCTAGATACTACATGTTATAAAAGCATGTTTGTGTTTTATGTGCTTCTTTTCTGATTGTGTTGCATGTTTCAGTTTTGTGTGTCTGTATGTTGCAGATGTTTGTGTCAAATTATACGTTGTACTGTACTCTTTCCCTCCTTAATTTTGATAGTCAAAGGTTTATGTGGCATCTTAAATGCTGGTATGGTGCTATGCTATACTGCTGGCAAATGCGCTAGAGAATTTGTGTACTGATCCTCATGCTACGTATGTGCCTTTTTTAATGTATTTTTTTATTTTCCGCTCATGCTGTGCTCATTATAATCTATATCTTTAAACTTGTATGCAATATTCAGCTCTATTAATTTCATTTTTCTAAAGAAAGTTAGGAATATTCTCTTTCTAACATTGTTCAAGTATGAAATGTTTAGTGTATTGCACACTTAAACATGAACTCACCAGGGTAAAAAGAAAATGGCTTGTCAGTTTGCTTCATGGTGTGTAAAGGTCTTACGTTTTACATAGATTTGTTTTTGTTTTCTATCAGGGAAGGCTCTATGTATCTTACTTTGCCTAAACTGGTAAAATGCATAGGTAAGGAAAAATTGTGTCATCATTATGATATATTTACATTCTTACTATCCAGTATAATCATTTTTTAAATCCTTTTCAGTTGTTTACACACCTCTCCAAGAGTTAAATACTCCACATTTTCCAGGGGATATACCTTGATTTCACTTTTTTATACCCTTCCTCTTATCCTACACTTACACTATGCTTAATGCAAACTTGTACTTTGCCCATGCAGGGCATGAAGAAAGAATATGAATTCTAGGATCAACACATGGGAGGGCGTATTTAGAAAGCAATGAATGTGACTATCGCACATCTATTTGGAAGACTCATCTGCAGTGAATATCAAATTCACTGGTCTATAAATATGCCCTATGGAGTCCTTCAAGGCAGATGTCTTTCAGACTCCTTGAATTATCTGAAGCTTTTTACTGCATGCATATTTTTCGATATTTTCCTGGCCTTAAACACATACGAAAAATATAATAAGGCCAAAGCAGCATATTCAGTTAATTATCATCTTCCCTGCAGCATATACTCTCATTTCCTTCTCTCCCCTGCCACTCCGTATATGAAGAAAATAGCCAGTACTTCTGGGTATAGAGATGCATGGGATTCATTCTTCCATTCAAGTGACAGTGTTGGTTCTTGGTCACATAAGGGGCAGGAAGAGAGTACTCAACCATGTGAAAGCTCTGACATGGTTATTAGAGTTAGAGTTATTTGGAATTTACACAGGGCTTCCTTTCCTCTTTCACAGAAGTTTAACTTGAATGGGCTAAAAGATCAGGCTGAAGCCGGCAACGGTGCCACCTACTGAATGAATTTCAGCCGGTTCATCATGAACTGGCCAAAATTCGTTCAGTGGACACTTTAGGACTTTTTTTCTTTTTGTTGTAAGCTTGATGTCCTAAACAGTATGCCAAATTGGTACTTAAAGGAGAGTGCAGTAGAATTTGGCATGATGTGTGATAATGATGTCTGCAACTTCCCTATGAGCTGTGAAGTCTGTTATTGGGCATATTGCCATTAAATTAGGGTGTAGACACTTTTTATTGTTACACAGTAGTGTTCTTTTCATTTGATTTATGTAAGTTCGTGTTTCCAAAGATGGTGCAACAGTATGCTTTAGAAATTAATTTTTTCAGTTTTTTTTTTGCATGTCATGATGACTTAAGATTCCATACTCATGTCACGAACAAATGCTACATTTTTCAATGAATATGACCTAACAATTGATGTATATTCATTTAAGATATCACCCTATGTTGCCATCATCATTTTATGTATTCTTTGGTAAAGTGAGTTTAGATTTTGAATTCATTGTGTGAACCATTTTTCTCTGACATTTGACATCCATTGGTGTGGAGCAAGAGGCACAGGTTCATCCATAATTCTAGTGGTGTCCTGGAGCTTTATTAGTTCCTTAATAACTCAATGTTGTCCATCCTTTGCAGGTGCCGAGGGTCTTTCATATGGCAGAATTAATAAATTGCATAAAAAAGTGCTAAAATGAGCTGCTGTTATGCAGAGTATTTTGTTTCTGTTGCCAAAAGTGCTTCATTTCGATGAGGGAAGGTTATCAAAACTGGAGCAAACAGAATGTGGAGCAATTGCTTATGACAACCAATCAGCGTCTTTCTTTTTGAGAGCTTAAAAGAGAACTATGGGGTAAGAGTGTGTTTCCCTATAGTTCTCTTTAGGGTCAAGGGAGGATATATACTAACCTCCTCCCATGACCCAAAGCTCAGTATATGGCTGGCTATTGCCCACTATACACTCAGTGGCCAGATTATTATGACCACCCCATCAGTACTTAGTTGGGCCACGCGATAACTCCACGAGATGACTTCGTTGGGCCGCCTCGTGACTCCACGAGATGTTGAAAGGTGATGCAAGGGATCTGCCACTGCACTGTTGCCCTTCTGTTGTCTTGTACCAGCCTTGCCACTCTCCGTTCTGCCCTAACATTGACTAGTCGCTGACGGCCACAATTTGCACATTCAGACCCAGATTTTCGGCTGACAGTCCAGTCTTTAAAAACGTTAACAATGAGCCCCTCTTGAACATTTAATGAATTCTAGTGTTTTGCTGATACTCGCTCCATGACTCGTGTCAACAATCATCCCACGTTCAAAGGCTGTTAAATCGCGTTGTTTACCCATTATCTTCAGAAACAAATCACTTCTACTGTCGTGGTAAACAACCTGCTTCCCTATTTATAATGGTCTGGCCCTCTAGCAACTTCAGCGCGAAATTATAGCTAATTTGCCTACAAATGTCAGGTGGTCATAATAAACTGGCCACTCAGTGTATGTTGAGAGCGCCGCAGCTGGGACAAATCCCAACAATACTGTCGAGATCCACCCAGCTGTGTGAGTGACAGCTGGCTCTGCCTATCTAGAGGCAGAGCCAGCTGTGACCGCCCCTTCCCCATTCATTCCTCCACTCAGCGCTGGAAGATCGGAGGGGGGAATCCCTGCGTGGAGCGGTGACCATCAGTCAGGGAGACGATCGGGAAGTGATGGAATCGGTGCATGTTTCTGCTCACTTCCCGATCGATTGAGCGGACCTGTGACAGCTTATTTGTCACAGGTCGGCTCTAATTATCAGGATGAGTGGAAATCACTCAACTCATAGATCTCCTTTAACTGAAGGAGAGAAGCTGATTGATTACTATGGACCGCTTATACAGATTCTGTCTGCTCCAGCTTGGATAAATCACCCCCTATATATTTAAATGCCAACAATTTATAGTGCTTGATCATAAGCATGGTATGTTCATTGAGTAAGTGACCATTCTATTCTATTGGTATTTGCTTCCTGTTTCCATGTAAAGAAATCTGTTTTAAAGCTATACAGAAATACATTCCTGTAGAGCTTCACCAAGAGAAAATAGAATGTTTCTCTTAATCCCCCCTAAACAGACTGGTCTATGTGGCTACATTGTACTACATACCTCTGCAAATATCTGCTACAGACCTTAATCAGGAGGCAAAGGGATTTGGGAAAGGTTTACTTTTTGTCCAAGAAACCATTGTGACCTCCAAGATTAAATTAGGTATCTTACCTCTTTTTTTTCTCTGTGTGAAAATTTGTATGATTGGGAGTCTGATGGTCATCCAACTGTAATGCTGTGTCTACAGACCGCTGTAGAGAGGTTTCTATGGAAGCAAGAAATGGAGGTATTGCTAGAACCACCAGAAGTTGTCATTTTTCTAGTGTGGGTTAGATAATGGAAACAAACATTTAGTTGCTATATATAACATGACTTTTACTACCCTTCATTTTATCACATTTCTTCTCTTTTTTTGTAGTCAAATTGAAGTAGTCTGAATTTTGCCTCCTAAGGAGGTCTGATGTCTACCAGCACAAAGGTTATCGAAATCTTTATGCAGATTTAGATCATTTTAATAAAATGTAGCAGATAATTTCACATAGGGTGCTAATGACTATTCATAGATAGTAGCTTTGCTCTCATTCTGAATGCATATGTTCTGTTCCAATGAGGAGTATAGAGAGAGAGATGATTTGCTGAAAGAGGTCATGATTTAAAAGTAACCTCACATGGTCCAAAGTGTAAAATCATAATTACAGCAAGAACAGAGAATTCATATATGCTAGTTTTAGAAATATATTTTATGGAAATATGCTGCTGAA